AATACATGGTCATATGGCCCAAGGCCCATGAGCACGACCCATGGCCCGTTGTTTTGGTCTGGCCGAGGCACGACATGGCCTGATGACCATGGTGCCCGTTCCAGCCTGGCCTGATGAGATGGCCATGCCTGGAACGCTCCCTGGGCTGGCACGACACGACCCGATTAGCATATCCTAACACTACGAGATAAAGAGCCTCTTTGGCAGGGCACCTGCAGGGGCTTCAGCTCCGGCTCCTGCAGGAGCCGTGCCAAACGTCTGTTTTGTAAAGGGCTCCGCATGGGGAGCCGGTCAAGAGCCGGAGCCATTTTTTGCTGTGCGAGAAGCCTAAAAAACGAGCTTCACGCGGCTCCTTGCTGTGGGTTCACGTCGTCTAGTTCAAAATTGTCCCCTGTACTTCAATGGTAATTACTACCAAATTGCCACCGCATCTTATCCCTTCCCCTCTTTTCCTCCGTACGCAGACACCACACGACGCGCTCAGCGTGACCGCGAGAGAGGAGGCGACCGCGAGAGAGGTCGCGACCATGCGCTAGGGTTCCGATGAACCAGTTGTGGCGTCTGACGGTCGGCGGGCGGAGCACGCACACGAGTGGATCTGGCGGCCCTGGTGCTCCAGCAGCCGACGCAAGGATGGCCGCGGCCCGGACCGGCGGATCGGAAAGCGCCGCCACCGGCGTCTTCAATTGCTCTGGTGCTCCTCCAGCTGGCGCGACGTCGCGTCGTGGCTCAAGGCGGACCAGCCAGTGCCGCCACCACTGCGCTTGCACGCCGAACGCCTCCATGTCGGGCGGCTCAGGCGATGGGTTCCCGGATCTGGTTCAATGGCGCGCGCGTCCACCACACTAGGCTCGGATTGGGCACGTAAATGCGAGATTGGTGCCACCCATGCCGAAGAGGAAAGTGCTCCGACCCTAGTGCAGACCACGCCGTCAACTCGCCGCAGGGGAGGTGGGTGCACTGGGAGGAGAACAAGGCCGTAGATAATGATATGGATGACAGTGGGAGTGATGAGGATGATGATGACTGCAAAATAAAGGCTTTGAGAGTGTTGCGGTCTGCTCAAAACAATATTTTATGTACTGCACTTCTTCTCAGCAAGTATTATTTGACATACCTTCATAAGAATGAGCCAAGAATAGCTGGACAGACCGGACATGCTAAGGTACTGGAAATTTTGCAAACTCCAAATGGGAGCCATAAGATGTTCAGAATGCACACCGCAATATTTTACAGCTTGCATTAATCGTTGGTGAGTACTTATGGTCTGAAATCATCCATTCATATGAACTCTATTGAAGCACTTGCTATGTTTCTTATGGCATGTGGCCATGGATGGTCCAATGGTGCTACACAGTATGTCTTCAACCATTCTGGAGAGACAATTAGTAGAAAATTTGAAGACGTATTGCACTGTATGGTGGCAATGTGTGAGGACTACATAAGGCCAATAGATCCTAACTTCTCTACAACACACCCTAGGATTTCTAATGATAGAAGAATGATGCCATTTTTTAAAGATTGCATTGGTGCACTAGATGGTACCCATATTTCCACAACACCACCTTCACATGATGCTATTAGATACTTTGGTAGAAGTCGCAAAGCAACACAAAATGTTCTTGCTGTGGTTGATTTTGACCTACAGTTCACCTATGCCTCTATTGGACAACCTGGGTCCATGCATGACACAAGTGTGCTCTTTCATGCTTTAACCAAGGATCAAGACAAATTTCCACACCCCCTCAAGGTATGAATGCCTAGGATGCTATTGACAAATTTGACACAACCTGTATGGTAATATATTAATATGTCTTCCTTTTCACTTGTGTGCTTAGGCAAATATTATCATGTTGATGTTGGATACCCAAGGGCTTGTTTAGTTTGCAAAATTTTTGAAATGGCACCGTAGCACTTTCGTTGTTATTTGGCAATTAGTGTCCAATCATAGTCTAATTAAGCTCAAAAGATTCGTCTCGTGAATTTCGTCTAAACTGTGTAACTAGTTTTATTTTTTATTTATATTTAATGCTTCATGCATGCGTCCAAAGATTCGATGTGACGGAGAATCTTGAAATTTTTGCAAAATGAAGTGAAACTAAACCGGGTCCAAATCGCCTTGGTTACTTGTCACCATACAAGGGGGAAAGGTACCATATTCTGGATTGGAGGAGGGGTCATGCTCCAAGTGGCCAGCAAGAGCTCTTCAACCATTTGCATTCAAGCATTCGCAATGCGGTAGAACGTACATTCGATGTGTGGAAAATGAAGTGAAGAATCCTTATCAAGATACCGAGTTACCCAATGGAAAAGCAAAAGTTAATTGTTGCGGCAACCATGTGTCTACACAACTACATTCATGAGACCAATGTGGTAGATAGAGATTTCCACAAATGTGATCGAAATCCAGACTACATACCAACCATACCTTCTAGATATGCAAGACATTCAAATCTATCAGATACATCAACTACTGCATCCAATGATCAAAACATGGATAGATTCTGGGATGACATTGCAAGAGCAATTTTCCTTTCTAGATCATCATGATCATGTAGTTTGATGATATTTCAATATCATTCCTACTTTTGTAAACGTTTTTGTAGTCTAACGAACACTATTAGTAGGTAACGTTATTTTACATGTTATCCTTGTTAATTTTGGTCAGTCGTTTGACAAAGTGACATCAAAGATCATATGTACAACCAAGTTAAAGAAGGGCAATATGGCCATTCACCCTCTTCCATCCATTCTAAAAAAACAGAAGGTAAACGTTTTTCAGAATGGCTTCAGCTCCTTCAGAGGAGCCGAGCCGGACTGTCGGAGCCATTTTTAGAGGAGCCAGAGCCCTACCAAACAGGCCCAAAATCTCTTAAGGCCCTGTTTGGGAGTTCTGTAAATGTATTCACTGGCAATTGTCTTCCGGTTGTAATTTGTAGTGCACAACAAAACCCCTGTACTTGAGTCGTGTATCCAATACAAAAAACGCTATCAAATTCTATAGGCATCTCAGAGGAATCAAAACAAAGAGGGAGGGGATGAGCAGGGTGACATGCGTCACCGGCTGCAGTGTGCCTCTGTCAGACTAGAACTGACCAGATATGAACTCAAGTTGGAAATTTCTGAACTCAAAATCGTAGAAACAAAAAAAAAAGAGAGAAATCAATCTATGCATTCCTATTCTGAACCGTCCCTAGCCTCATAATCTAGCACCCAGCGGCGGATCCAACGGTTGGAGCAGTGGAATCTCCCTGGAGCATCTATGAATTTTTAGACAAAGTTCCATAGAGTAGATGAAGCTGAAACTTAACATCGAACAGCACTCGGAGGTATTTTTCATGGATCCGCCATGGATCCGCCGCCGCTAGCACCAAGATATAAATATGCAGGTGAGAAAGGGAGGAAGGCAAAGATCAGCACCGTGAATCATGACCAAATTCATCACGGATCCACCTTGATGATGGTGACCAACCTGGAAGGGGTAGGGTGATTGGTCTGAGCAATAAGCTCCATCTCGGAAGAGCATCAGCAGGGCCGCTCGAGAAAGGGTGGATCTCGGAAGAGCACCAATATGGCCGCGCGAAAAAGGGCAGCATCTCGGAGGACCAGCGCAGGCCGCGCGAGAAAGGATGGAGGAGAGGAGCGCGACGGCCATTGCGGAACGGCGGCGGCGGAGGAAGGTGAGGCTGCGCCAGCGCGAGAAAGGACGGAGAGGAGCGCGGCGGGCGGTGCGGAACGGCCGCAGAGGAAGAAGGCGAGGCGTGAGCGGACAACTCGAGAGCCCGATATCCGTCGGATAAAAAGTATGGGCTGAGCAGGTCTGTTTATTTTTCCGGTCGAAATAGTCCAAAACCAGTGTAATTTAAGTGGCCTCATCGGACATCCAAACAACATACATATTTAGAACTCAGCTGTAAAAAATTACGGACCCATAATTTATACTGGGGCCTTGTTTAGATCACCTCCAAATTTCAAGTTTTTTCACTCTCTTTATCACATCAATTTTTAGCTGTTTGCATGGAGCATTAAATATAGGTAAAAAAATAATTAATTGTACAGTTTAGTTGGAAATCACGAGATGAATCTTTTGAGCTTAGTTGGTCCACGATTGGACAATATTTACTAAATAAGACGAAAGTGCTACTATTCATCGGGTTGAAATTTTTTGTAATCTAAACATGGCCTGGTTTTGGGTTTAAAACTGGGCTTCAAACAGACCCAACCCTAATTGGCCAATACTCCCAACCGTCGCCACCCTCACGCCCATCTCACGACTTCACCCCTCCTGGTGACTTTCGAAGTGTTCGGCTGCTCGTAAAGTCATCTAATCTGATTTATATGGCTAATTTATTGAGAAACAACCATAGCTTATAAGCCGAATTATATAATGACAACCGAACACTCTTCGCCGCAACTTCCCTTCCCTTCCCTTCCGACCTCTATCCTTGTCCTCATCTCCCTAGCCAGCGTGCGAAGCTTTGCTTCCTCGGCAAACGCATGGACGCGATGACGACGCTTCTCCAGCATGCTCTCGGATGTGGCGGCAACAGCGTGACCTCAGCCTACGCACGGATGTGGCAGTGGCGCGGCCCCCGTCTGCTCATGGATGCGGCGGCGACGCGACCTCAGCTTGACGTAGATGCGTTGGGCCGAACACGGCCCGGCACTTATAGGACCGTGTCTGGGTCGTAGGCATAATTCGTGGGTCAGCACGGCACGGCAACGAAGGGCTAGCGGGTCGTGCCTTCAACGGCCCTGGACTGTATCGGCCGCGTCGTCCATTTAGCTATCTATATAGTCATGGGCTCGAGTGGTGTGGTGGGCTTCTTGGCCCGCCGTAGTTAGAGATTTCTTTGTTGAGGATTTTTTGTGACAGAATCCGTGTAAATACACATTCCGGCTGAAGACTGTGAAAAGTCCACTCTCCGAGTCTCCGACGCCCGCTCGACCACCAGTTGATAAGGGGGAGAATTCACCTCGGCGGCTCGTCCTCGACGCCGATGGCGGAGCCCAGTCCTAACCCGACCGTGGTGCTGCACGCCTGCCTCGGCGTGGGCCACCTGATCCCCATGGTGGAGCTCGCCAAGCAGCTCCTCCGCCGCGGCCTCGCTGTCATCATCGCCGTGCCGACCCCGCCGGCCTCCACTGCCGACTACTTCGCCTCCTCCGCATCCGCCGTCGCCGCGCTCGCGGCCGCCAACCCCGCCGTCTCCTTCCACCACCTCCCGGCCCCGGACTACCCTGCCCCGGACCCGGACCCCTTCCTCCAGATGCTCGACGCGCTCCGCCTCACAGTCCCCTCCCTCACCGCCTTCCTCCGCTCCCTTCCCTCCGTCGCCGGGCTCGTGCTCGACCTCTTCTGCGGCGACGCGCTCGACGCGGCCGCATCCACCGGCATCCCGGCCTACTTCTACTACACCTCCTGCGCTGGCGACCTCGCGGCGTTCCTCTACCTTCCCCACTACTTCGCCACGACGGAGGGCGGCCCCAGCTTCAAAGACATGGGCAAGGCGCTCCTGCACTTCCCCGGCGTCCCGCCGATCCCGGCTTCGGACATGCCTCACACTGTCCTCGACCGCACGAATCGGACCTGCGCCTCGCGGATCGTGCACTACGGTCGCATCCCAAAGGCGCGGGGCGTGCTAATCAACACCTACGAGTGGTTGGAGGCGCGGGCCGTCAGGGCACTCAGGGACGGCGTCTGCGTCCCTGGCCGCCCCACGCCGCCGGTGTACCCCATCGGCCCGCTGATCGTCAAGGGCGAGGAGGCGGCGGAGGAAGGGGAGCGGCACGCGTGCCTGTCGTGGCTGGACGCACAGCCAGAGCGGAGCGTGGTGTTCCTCTGCTTCGGCAGCCTGGGCGCCGTCTCCGCGGCGCAGATCAAGGAGATCGCACGCGGGCTGGAGAGTTCCGGGCATCGGTTCCTGTGGGTCGTGCGGAGCCCGCCGGAGGACCCGACCAAGTTCTTCCTCGCGCGTCCCGAGCCGGACCTGGACTTGCTGCTCCCGGAGGGGTTCCTGGAGCGGACGAGCGACAGGGGGATGGTGGTGAAGATGTGGGCGCCGCAGGTGGAGGTGCTGCGGCACGCGGCGACGGGCGCGTTCATGACCCACTGCGGGTGGAACTCGGTGCTGGAGGCGGCGTCGGCCGGCGTCCCCATGCTGTGCTGGCCGATGTACGCCGAGCAGAGGCTGAACAAGGTGTTTGTAGTGGACGAGATCAAGGCCGGGGTGGTGATGGACGGCTACGATGAGGAGCTCGTGAGGGCGGAGGAGGTGGAGAAGAAGGTGAGGCTGGTGATGGAGTCCGAGGAAGGGGAGAAGCTCAGGGAGAGGCTGGCTATGGCAAAGGAGAAGGCTGCAGAGGCGCTGGCTGATGGCGGACCGTCGTCGCTGGCGTTTGAAGAGTTCTTGAAGGATTTGAAGCTCGCCAAATGATCATGCACAGAAGTGAGCATCATGGTTGATCCTGTTAGCTTGGACTATGATCTATGTGTGCCCTTTCCGGGGTTGTTCAGGGGATTTTATAACCTGCAGGGTCAAATCCTCTTCAGTTTCTCTCTAATTCTCACCAAACTGAACAAGGCCTCGTTGAGATAGCGGCGCATGAGTTGTGAGTGTTTGACAAATACATGCATTATCTTCTGGGTGATGAGGAACTGCGAGGTTTCCTCAGTAGCATATTCTAGCTCAAATCAGAATATGCTATAGCTACAATCATCAGTGAATTGATTCGGAAAATAAAGTAAATTGACAATCACAATCACATTTAATCAATTCTACTGATCCAATCCAATTTTATTGCCATACTACAGATGCAATATTTAATCTCTTACTATCAAATATCTATATCATTTCGCAGTTCATCTGCCACACTAGCACACCTTGATCAATTCAATTGCATTCTCCGTTTGCGGAGCTGCTCTTGTCCAAATCTCTCAAGAACTCGGCGAATGCCACTTCAGAAGACCCGCCTTCCTTAGTAGCCCCCAACGCCTTCTCTCTCGCCACCGCGAGCCTCTCCCGAAGAATCCTCCCTTCCTCGGCCTCCATTACCAGTCTCACCTTCGCTTCCACCTCCTCCGCCTTGACGAACTCTTCGTATCTCCCCAGCGCCACCGCGATCTTCATCTCCTCCACCATGAACGCCTTGTTCAGCCCCTGCTCCGCGTACAGCGGCCAGCATATCATGGGCAGCCCCGACACGATGGCCTCGAGCGCCGAGTTCCACCCGCAGTGCGTCACGAATGCGCCAACAGCCTCGTGCCGCACCACCTGCGCCTGTGGCACCCAGTTCTTCACCACCATGCCTCTGTCTCTGTTCCTGTCCACGAACCCTGCGGGAAGCAGCCGCCCCAAGTCCGGGTCCGGTTCGGGAGACTGGCCCTGTTCTTCCGGCGGGCTCCTCACGACCCACAAGAACCGGTGGCCGGAGCTCTCCAATCCGCGGGCGATCTCCTTCAACTGCGCGGCGGAGAAGGCGCCCTTGCTGCCGAAGCAGAGGAACACCACGCTCCGCTTCGGCTGCGCGTCCAGCCACGCCAGGCACTCGTGCCTCTCGCCGCTCTCCCCCGTCGTGCTGCCGTCGTTGACCAGAGGCCCGATGCAGAAGACTCTCGGCGTCGGCCGGCCGGGCACGCAGACGCCGTCGCCGAGCGCTCTCAGGGCCCTGGGCTCCAGCCAGTCGAAGCTGTTGACCAGCACGCCCCTCCCCTCCGGGATGCGCTTCCACTGGTACATCCGGACCTTGTTCGCGTCGCTCTCCCTGTCCCGCATCGACCACGGCATGTCCAGCGCCTGGATCGGCGGCATGCCGGGGCAGCGCACCAGCGCCCCGCCCATGTCCCTGAACGACGACGGCAGGGTCGGGTAGAGGTACGGCAGGTTGAGGAACACGGCGAGGTCGCCCGCCGCGGAGGCGAAGAAGAAGTAGGCCGGCACGCCGAGCTCCGCCGCGACGTCGAGCGCGTCGACGCAGAACATGTCGAGGAGGAGGGCGTCGGCGCCGCCGGCCAGGGACAGCAGGAGGTCCCGGAGCGCGGGGTTGGCGAGCTGGAGCGTGTCCTGGTCGCGCTTCACCGGGTGCGCGCCGACGTCCGGGCTGGCCGGCGCCGGCAGGAGGCGGAACGCGATGGCCGGGTTGGCCGCCGCGAGGCGCGCCACCGCGGCGGCCGACACGGCGTCGGTGTCGGGCGGGTTGACCACGGCGATGAGCGCGCCATGGCCGTGGCGCAGGAGGTGCTTGGCCAACTCCACCATCGGGATCAGGTGGCCGACGCCCAGCGAAGGGTAGAGCACGAACGTCCTCGTCTTCCCCGTCATGGTGCTGGATCGGTGGCGTAACTCGAGCTTCAATTCGTTCGCCGGACCCGGACTGGGGATTTCGTGGTTATAGTTGGAATACTAGATCTGGAACAGTTGTCGTAGCAAGTTGCACCTCTCGCAGTTCCAAGTGCCTCCTCATGGTCATGGCCTCATGGGTGGTCAACTCCGCCAGCTTACGTATGTGAGTGTGCCTTCCCAAGTGAATCCACGCCGGCATGGCTGTTTCGTGTGCGACTAGAAAACCAGACTCGGCCTTGCCACGCCTACTTTGAAACACACATTCTAGATTAGACAAGAATAATCAACAGTTATCAATGTACTTATATTATAAGTACAATTCTCTTATTATAGAGGTCTGGTTGGCTACTTTTTGGAGCTATTAGTTTATTATATTTTAGCTATATTATGAGTGGATACTCTGAGTGAAAAAAAACTCTCAAACAATTTCAGGGTCAATCGGCCTATTCGCTTGGTCGTAAACGATCGTAAATTTTCAGCCAGAACAGTATTTCTCTCTCATACCAAACCAGTCAGCAGTAATAATCCACGATCGTATACGATCGTTTCAACCCAGCCGAACAGGCTGATAGAAATTGAGTTGCTCAATACGTTTTCTTGGAGAAAAATGATAATAGAGCAATAAAAAATTGAAAGATTAGATGACAAGACATCTGGGCAAGAACAAGCTTGTAGATCAACTGTGAGTTACAGCTTCCCTTGTCCTAATATCGTACTGCAGGCACTGAGTATGGTCTACAGGTGGCAACGTTGTTCGCTTGCCCTGTATATATCGTACTGCAGCCTCCAGATTCTTGCCCAGCGAGTTTGTCACCGCCCTGTATATATCAGTCTTGGGGTCCTCGAGCACTTCGCGAACGAGGTGAGAAGCCGGCATGGGTGGGACGCCATAGAAGTTGACAGTGCCGTCTCCTAGCTCCTTGAAGCTCGGCTGGCCCTTCGCACGACGGGCCCAAGGGAGTTGGAGGCATACAGCGAGGGCGGAGGCGTTGGAGGCGAAGAAGCTGTAAGCCGGGATACCGAGCTCGTCCGTGACGTCGAGCGCGGTGTTGGAGTATGAGTCCAAGATCACTGCGTGGATTCTTCGCGGAGGGATGGAGCAGAGGAACTCACGGAGGTGCTCGTTGTAGCGCCGTATCATCTGGAAGTATCCGAGGAGGAAGTTGATGTCGTTGGTGACGGTGGGAGGATTGTGGATTCGAGGGAGCGTGTGGAAGGTGGCCGTCGGCTTGGAGGATGCTACACGGTCGACTGCGGCGGCGAAGGCGATGTTGTGTTCCATGGTAGCCTCGATGAGCGCGACCACGACGTCGTAGCCTTCCTCCAGCAGGACGCCGGCGAGCTGCATCATGGGGATGAAGTGGCTGACGGCGAGGCCGGGGTAGAGAACCACGGTCTTCTTCATGGAGGCGCAAAAGACAAGCAGCCAAGATAAAATGCTTGCTACGTATATTGTGTCTGATGAGGCTCTGAGCAATCGATATATATATATATATATATATATATTCTTCTGACGAAGATATATAGGAGACGAGTTTATTGTTTTGTTTCTGTATGCAACATTTACAGCTCCGTCCCACCAGGCCACTAGCTATCATAAAGTCCGATAGCGAAGAGTGAGCAACCTGTGGGCATGGCGTCTAGGTTAGCTGTCCGCTTGTGTCCTGTCTGTGCCTCTCCTCTTGGCATATTTGTATGGGGCCAAAATTAATTAGAGCAACTATACATAGGAATGGAGATTTAGGCGGAAAAAAAGGATCTTTAACGTTTTTTAATTAGAATCTCTATAAATATTACTATTATCTACTTTTGCTTTCTCGCTATCTTATTTTTATGATGTACTCCAGCTATCCCAAAATAAGCCCAAAGGAGACGTTTTTAACTTTGACCAAACATACACAAGAAATATTAATATTTATAATACACAATTAGTATCATTAGGTAGATTGTTGAATATATTTATAGTGCATTGAGTTCAACATGGCCTACGGCATGAAAGATGAAACATGGCCTACGACATGTCTCTTAGAGACGTCCTGTATGGAACCCAGAAAATTATGCTTGTCAAGACGGAACATTGTTTTCGAAACTTAGAACATTGCCTCCATTCCATAAAGAGAATGTTTACTAACAAAATTTATCTAAATATATCCTTGTTAGTTTGAAGGATTTATTGTAGGAAATACAACGGTGTAATTGAAATTTTATTTGGATGGTTAGTTATAAACTACGGCTCTTTAATATTTCAAAAAAAAAAATCCAAACACCGACACTAGGAGCCCCCATCCATAGCTCCCTACAAGCATCGTGAACAGGGAGCACACACCGTTCCCAGGTTTCGAGCTTTTACTGTAGCGTGGGCTTATCTGCTAACTCACAAATAGACTTAATTTTTTATAGGTTATCCAGATAAATGCATGACATATCGTAACTATATAAATTATTTATGTAGTTAAACAAAGATAAAATGTTTTGTTATGTGATGTAACCCAGACAAACGCAGAAAACACATCACAAATGTACAAATTATCTCTATATTTAAGTAAAGCCAAATATCTTGGTATGTGATATATAACCCAGATAAATATATAAGACACATTAAAAAAATGCAATTTCTATAGTATAGTGTGTGATAGGTGATAGATATCACATAGATATTGTGTGAATAGTTCAAAATACATCATGGTCATAGAACATCACATCTATACTATCATTAAGCTGGGAGAGTTTGGCCGCCGACAAGGGTGGCCACGTCGCCCCTATCATTAAGCCGGGAGAGTTTGTCATTAAGCCGGGAGAGTTTGGCCGCCGACAAGGGTGGCCACGTCGCCCCTATCATTAAGCCGGGAGAGTTTGTCATTAAGCCGGGAGAGTTTGGCCGCCGACAAGGGTGGCCACGTCGCCCCTGTCATTAAGCCGGGAGAGTTTGGCCGCCGACAAGGGTGGCCACGTCGCCGAAATTCCCCTGGCCGTCCGATTCGCGATCGACGCTCAGAAATTAGTCCGCCCACCGCTACAGTAGCTCCCCCCGCTGCTTCCCGATTCTTCGTCTCGCCCCCTCCTCTCTCTCTTTCTTCGCTCCTTCTCGCTCTTCCTCCCGACGCGGACAGCGGCGGCGGCGCCAGCCGCTTGCGGGCCGCGGCGGCCGCGCTCGACCTCGCCACACCGGTCGCCGTCCCCGGCCACGGAACGGCGCGGATAGGCCCCCTGGTGGCCGCCGTCGCGGCTTCCCCTGCGCTGCATCCTCCCGGCGACCCGCGGGCGCTCGACGGAACCCTAGCTGCCTCTTCCTCGCCGGCGGTAGCGCAAGCCCTCAGCACCCTCCTCCTCCTCCTCCACGGCCCTCCACACCCCCCACCGCGCCGCAGGGGTGGAGCGACGGCGCCCCCCGCCGAGTGCTGCGCCGGTGGCGCGGGTGGCTGTCCCCCGCCGAGGGGGCCCCGACGGCCGCCGTCCCCGGCCACGACGCGACCGAGCGACCCCCTTCCGTAGGTATGTATGACATTGTGATTTGTTGTTCGCACATCTTCAGCACACACCGGTGGCCGTCCCCGCCCACGGAGCGGCGCGGCTACGCCCCCCCCACCCCTCCGGTGGCCGCCGTCGCGGCCTCCCCTGCGCTGCGTCCTCCCGGCGACCCGCGGGCGCTCGACGGAACCCTAGCTGCCTCTTCCTCGCCGGCGGCAGCGCCAGCCCTCAGCACCCTCCTCCTCCTCCTCCTCCACGCCCCTCCTCCACGTTCTCAGAGCATAGGCTTTGTTTGGAACTTTGGATTCAATATGTTAAATGCTGCATTGCATCCGACACACATACGCCTCATGTCTTACTAGGTACAAAGCATTACGAATCCTATTTACAAATGTATTCTCCATACAAGCATGCACTAAAAAAAGATGAGGTCTGCAGGTGTGTTTTTTTGTAACAATGTCAAGGAACAACGACCACATCATACTGAGTAGAGTAGCAATAGTTTCTTCTGTCCACGGCGAGATAATGGAGTTCTTATACTGCCTACTATTATTTTAGATTCGTATTACCTTTTGCCGTTCACAACTTTTACAGGATTTTCCGTAATTGTATTGTCTTATATTCATTCCTATCGTCATCCTACCACAGGATGAAGCTGTCAGGGGAGCAGCATAATAACAGTGGGGATCCCGGCACAAAAAAAGGACGAGATTCACACGCCAACGACTGCCAAAACAAAAGGAAAATTCCCCGCAAAGTTTTGTTCGTCCCATACTATACATCGATACTTGCTTTTACAAACCATGAATTGTTTATTTGTTTTCCTGTCATGTTAAGATGCCTGCAACGGTTGCGCAGAATGGTGCGATGATGTACGATAAATACTTTCACCGTGTAAATAGCTGTTCGTGTTACTTCATTGATCTGCTTCCATGTAGGTTATTAGTTCTATGCTCTACTATTTGAACAACATTTTACAACCATCTCTGCTTGATTAGATTGCTTAGTTGTTCATGTCGCAGATTTCATGCTACAACCAATTGCCTTGTTCAGGGGACGTGAGGACCATCCAAAGGTGCAGATTTAATATCGTGTAAAATAGACATGCCTCTTTGTTCCAGGCGAGTGCCTTCTTCGCATGCTTTTTTGTTACATTGTTTTAGATGGGAAAACTGAGGTGACACATTCAAAAATATTTCAGCTTTAGGGGAGTGAAATTGGGAGTGCACCCTGGAGCTTGGGTTCTGTGTTTTTTTAGCTATATGCTGATTCTGAGAAATCTACTGCATGCAGACCTTGTTTTTACCAATCCCCTTAATAGGCTTAATAAGCAACACTGGTCCAACTCAGTGTAGGCAAGCCTCTTCCTGATCTGGTCTCTGTATTCTAATGTTTTTCCCAGCTCATTTTATCTTACTGATTTTTTACAACTGCATCTCTTCACAGGATCGTTACTGTGTTGGTTGGGCTTCGTCAATTCAGCAGGATTAATCGCTCCACTATTTTTCCCTTTGATAACCCAGTCAATACCTGCTACTTTTAGGTGCTTCTTGGATTAATCTCCTCACCCTCTTCTTCAAGGTACATTAGGTTGCTCCTCTCATTTAAGCTGATTTTTCCCATGTAAGTTGTTTTTGCCATAGATGCAATTGACAGCTGGCTAGTCACAAGAACATGGTATGTTCATCCATTTTTTCCTTGTTCCTTTCTGGTATCTATTTATGGGATATGAATATGACCTTTTTTTGGGTATACCTTCCATTGATCAGTGATGTTTCAGAGGTTACATATCTTTCTATTACAACAACTATTTCTTAGCTTACAAAAATAATGGCCTTCATATCATGTATCTGTTTGATTCTGATGATAGAACAAAGCCCGATGAAACTTAATAATTTGATTTGTTCATACACGGTTGGCCCCAAGCAGTGCCCCATTCAATGCATTTACGTTTCCCTGCCCATTCATACTGCATAATTATGATTATGATGTAATCTACTTTGCTACACTAAACTCCCTCTTCTGTTACTCATGCAGTCATGCTATCAAAATGTTTACAGGTTCAGGTTAACCGCTTTTAGCAAAATATTCCTGCTCCAAAGGCCCTCCTGATTGCAATTTTTTCTATTTTGCTAGGTTACCTTTGTAGGGTTTTGTTACCACCTGGGTTCTAAGATTGTTGTTTCTGCCATGCTTTAGTTAATTTTCCACCTTGTGTCGGCTGAATGCTCCACAACATTATTGCGTAGAGTTAAGGGATTTGCAATTTCTTTGTATCCTTGGTGTGATCGTATAGAGCAACTGCTGTGGCCTGATCACTCTACTACTCATTTGCTCACAGGTTCAGCTGAACACCCACCATTTGTTGTTGATTTTCCTTATACAATGTACCATGTCAAATGTGTGTGATCAAGGCAGGTTGCGTACGTCTCCATTTATCCGGTATCTCTCCTCCATCCGATTTAATCCATTTAGTCTTTTCAAATACTTCTTGCTACAGCTTGTGACTGTGTGCAACAGTGCTGTAGATGATGCCTAAAAATGTGTACATTTACAGTGTGTGTAAATTATGATTAAGAGAAATCATCATTTTGCGATAGTTTATTAGAGTCAGCTCGTCAACCATAATGGTAATTTGTTTAGTATGAAATATCATGGTTGCTGATAACTCCGTATTACTGATTATAGAATTCTTTGTTTCTTTACATCTCATTATACATCCACAGTCCCATTTTACGTTCAGTTAAACCAGCAAATATGTTCACTGCTTTTTCAATATAGTTCTACTTTATATAGTTGCATCAAGACTCTATACAGACCTATGAAGCAAACTATATTATGCCATTCCCATTAAATAAAAAAGGAATATTTTTAACTGCCGTGTATATACGCTCATTCTAGATTTCCTTGTTCCAGCAATTCGGTGCGTTACATGCT